TATATATATATATAACTGCTGTATACTGTTGACCGGATAGATCCCATGGGAATTTTTCTTACGTATGTCATCACCACAATGTCAATTCTATTTATGTATAATAATTCACTTTGAATTCAAGTTCAAGTTCATACTCAAGTTTATGTTCAAGTTCAAGTTCAGTACGCAATTAAATGGTTGTGTTTCCGCCAAACCTGAAAGCCGTATCCGCATTCTACCTTGTGCTTTTTCCTCGACTTAGTTCACTGGGACTCGCTTAGCGTAAAACTGATTTTTGTGCTAGGACAAAAATACCTACCCTTCGGCAGTTTTTCATGTCAATATTTCTTTCTTACACTCCATAAAATGGTTTGCCCTGTACTCAGTCTTGAAGATGTTTTGGCTAATATCTCAAGATCTGTCTTATCAAATGGGACTATATTTGGGAGGGGTGTTGGTGGGGTATGGAGGATTATGTCTGAGGAGTTTGGGCCCCTGGTGATTGACCTTGGTACTACAGTAAGAATGTTTAAAAGCAAATTTGGCAAGGTATGGTCCAAATGGACCCCAGCCATGTATTTGCACTTTCCTACACACGAAATTGTTCGGATGTCCTCAAAATGTCTTCAAGAAAGCTTATTGCTTTAATATTATGCAGTTTGCCAAGTAACCTCAACCTCAGGAATTATTTCATCAGGTTTTCAGAGGTTTGACAATTTGACAATCATATGAGGTCAATGGTCAACCCCATGTTCATGCCTGCAGGCCTCATCCTATTTTTGCATAAATTATGATAATGAGTTGGAATTTTCTAACTCTTAATCATGTCAACATAAACATCTTAATATGTTTAACCAATATATGTGCAAAGGTCACTGAAAGGATGCAAAAAGGAATATAAATTTGAAAGAAACCAAATGGGGTCCATTTGGACCTCGTTCAGGCATTAACGTCCCAAGAAAGTTCGGGTGTTTGAGGGTTAAATTAGATTTGATGTGCAGCATGCAGGCAATATATTTTATCTCTTAAAAGTAAACAGACCACGGGAATGGGCATCACATGGAAACACAAGACAGAAGTAAGCTGCTTGGGTCATTAGCAGGAATGGGGTCAGATTGCATGTGTTGATAAGTTGCCCGAAAACAATGTTTTCGATACCCTGTTCTCCCTCAAAACAACAAACCGCCACAACAAAATCTTTCAGGATAGACATCTACATTGTATCATTATGGTAAAAAATAACTCAAAACATTAACATTACAAAAAGTGACAAAAACACACCAAAAAACAACAAAAGAACAAACGATTTCAAGAGTAATGATGTCCTCGACTTTTTCTAGTTAATCATGCAAGTAACCTCCACATTGAAACATTAAAATGATTTTAAATTTTTATTTACCTACACCTCTCGTAAGTATAAAACTACAACATTTACCACTTTTGTTTCATCTACATTGGTACAATTTTCGTGTAATTATGCAAATCAGGTTCTTATTAGCAAAAGAGTATATGTAAATATACTAATACGTGTATCAAGCTCTAATTTGTAAAATACTGAATTACAGAAATTCATCATTACTTTTGCAATGTAAGTCCTTTTTGCATAATTTGAAGTTAACTTACAGATGAAGCTGCAAGGGAGAACGAGAATTCTAAGATCTCATACCTCCAAGAAAATATGTGAGTTTTGTCTCATTGACTATGAAAATAAGGTCGTAATTAGCATAATCTAGTTTACTCTATGGTTTTCTAGATTAAAATGACCATATTTTTCGTGTGAAATTCCTCTCCTTTCTCAACGTGTGCTCATTATTTATGCAGATGCCCTCTACATTATATATGCAAAGTGGTGTCAACCTTTAAGTAACTTACACATGTCACAATAAAATTCCCATCATTCACCGATAAGGAGTCACGTGATTTCCACATTAATTATGCAAATTAAGCCATCATTGGCATGATTGGTAGCTGTTGATGTTCCGCCTGCCACAGATCAAACAGATTACACGTGTGAAAGTATTATTATATAAAACACTGTAATTATAGAATTTCCTCCTTAATTATGCAAATTAAGTCACAATTTACATAATTTGCATTAAATTACGTACAACTCTACTTCAGCTACCTACACACCAAAAATTACGTTACGAAAATACGATGTTCCTTTCTGGACTTATTAGCTTTTAAAGATTTCGCCAGAAAGCCCCCTGTAGGTCCTAAAAAAAGGTGCTAGGGGGACCAAACCCAAATCAAATATTTCTGACAGGAAAAGCTATCACCAAAAAGGCAAGACCATAGCATGGTCATGACAAAAGACACAAAAAACGGAAATTCTGCTGCAGTACTAAGGTCGTCCACCAGGAGGGTCATATTTGACCTTGACTTTTGTCTTTCCAAGACTTACCAACATACCAAATATCATCACAATCCATCAAGGCGTTCTGAAGTTATGCTGAACACAAACTTGCACACACACAGACACACAGGCATACAGACAGACAAGCCAAAAACAATACCTCCATTTTTAATAAAGGTAATAAACCTAAACCACTTGTTCCTGACTTAAAAAGTCAATCTCCTCTGCTAATTGACGCAAAATCAGGACAATAACATATACAGGATAAAGTATGTAAAATCTGCAATTTCTGTTGTAGATCAGCCAGGAGAACCATATTTGACTTTGACCTTGGTCTGTTCTAAGATGTAACCACATATCAAATATCATCACAATTTATAAAGGCCTTCTTATATTATGCCCGCCAGCCTCTAGCAGGCACCGCGGGTCACTGGAAAAAAGAAATGGCCTAAATAAAGCAATGGTATACCAGGAGAGATAGCCGGCCAAAGAGAATGCAATTGGAGACCCGTGAACGACCCTGGTAGAGGCTATTGCCGGCCAGAAAAATGCGGAAAAAGTTTTTTTTTCACAGAGAAAACCGAGTGATTCATATTAAACAGCACATCGTTTAACATAGTGAATTAAACGGTAAGAAGTCAAAAGTGTAATCAAAGACCTTACTTATGTAGGAGAACTGGAACCCCTGACTCGTGTAACGGTCGTCAGATGTGAACCTCAGTAACATCGTGTTAGATGTGCTGATGATGGGGCTGATTTGTCGATGGTAACCTGATAACCTAAACACGTATGATCAATAAAAGATAAAGATTTTACAGAAACCTTTCTAATATTAAAGCCTATATTATTTCCGTTATTCCTAATAAATAATGATCACACAACGATCGAACATTACTATCATTACATTTACGTAGTTAGTTTAAAAGTCAGAAAGTGGAGTCCTTTGGAAAGTGTTGGTTATGTCTAAGGGCATCACCTTTGTAACTCTGTAGCATCATCGCTGGCTCCATCGTAGATAGTCAGAAAGTCACAACAGCCCTCAGTGTCGAACCTGGCGAACGTGAGACGAATGATGCTTCCTTCTGGTACAATGATCAACCACCTGACGTTTTCATTGTTGCCATAGTCACTAGGGTGGTTCGGTGACGTCACAGGCCCCCTAGAGGGGCCCATCATGATTCTTTCTACTGCAGAAAGGTAAACGGAATATGTTGCAGGATAAAGTTTTTTAATTCATCAAAACATAAAAAAAACATAATAAGGACAGTGTGATGCTGCACTCAAGTTGATAACTTATTAACTTATTATTAACAGCGCCACACAACAAAAAAAGTACAATTAACATTTTAATACACAAGGTTGACATATCTGTGCGCCCATAATTATTTGAAAAATGAAGACAATGAAAGCAATCATCCATTCGTCCAATGTACGCGGGCTTATGTCAAGGATGAAATCCATGTTTATATCAGCGTACTCGTAACGTGCTCGACCAATGTACTACGTATTTATAACGTATGACCTACGTAACAGCGTACGCAGCGTGGTTTTGAGTATGCTGCGTATTGAGCCACGCTGTACGTGTGTTGTGCGTATGCCGGCGTACATAAAACTGACTTAAATCTGAGATGCAAATTACGTGCATATTGTGCGCACAGCTGCGTATGTAAGAATTGTACATACAAAACTCGCACGCAATGATTATACGCAGAAGTGTGGCAGGGCCCGAAGATCGTCCTGATTGGACAATTGTTATTTTGTTATCGTGATCTCCGTAAAGAAGATATACCTCCTGCAGGAATATTGTGGTCAGTTGTGTTTTTTGTGTTAGCAGAGAAAACAAACGGTTCCCTTTATTTCATCGGCATGTAATTTTAAACTTCGTCTGTGGGCATGCCCATGATGATGCACGTAATATATTTTTTTTTTTGTAGCACAACGTTGTGTATGTGACCGTCTTGCTGCAGCTGACGGCTTTTATAACATTAAGCTGAAAAAGTTTTTTGGATCTTCTGGTAAAGGGATATATATATGATATCTGTTATAGCTGACGGTTTTGTTTACTATATTAAGATATATCGTATAAGTTTCAAAATACTATATTAACCCTGAAGGTATAAATTAACCCTATCTAGACCGGGCTTTTTTTA